AAAAAAAAAAAAAAAAAAAAAAAAAGATGTAGGGCATTTCCAGCACCCCAGCAGGCTCCCTTGAGGCCTTTACCATTTACCTCCTCGGAGATAACAACCTGTGGCTTCTATCACTATAAATTTACTTTTGTCTGTTCTTGAACTTCATGTAAGTGTAATCACACAGTATGTAAGATTTTGTTGTCAGGCATCTTTCATTTAACATAATATCTGTGAGATTCATCCATGTTGTTGCATGTGACAGTAGTTTGTTCCTCCTTATTGTCGTATCGTATTCTGTTTAATGAATTTACAGTAATTCATCAATTTATCCATTCTACTGTTGATGGTCGTTTGGGTTGTTTCAGATTTGGGCTATATAAATAAAGCCGTTATAAACATTCTTATACATATCTTCTGGTAGAAATAAGCATTTCATTTCTAGTGGGTATATATAGATGAGTGGAATTTCTGGGTCATAGGACATATGTATATTTAGCTTTAGTAGATACTACCAGACAGATGGTTATAGAGAATTTATACCAATTTATATCACACTAGCAATGTATGAGAGTTCTATCAACCTTTAGTAATGTTCATCTTAATTTTAGCCATTCTGGTGCATATGGATGAGTTCTAGGATGGTTGGTTGTTCACTAATACCCAAGTCCTATATAATTTTCCATAAATAGTGAATCAATCTCTGAAGTCAGATGTAATCTTGTTGAATCAAGGAGCACCATGGATGGAGGAGGGAGAAATCTCAAGTTGGGCCTATCCAGGTAAGTGAGAACCTGGCATATGGGAGGAGGGAAGTAAGATTCATATTGATTAGTGAGATGTTTGTCTTTGAAATGTTTTTTAGGAAATCATTCTTTAGGCCATAGACGTTTAGAAATGGCTGAAGACAGTTGATGTGGGATTGTCAAATACCTAAATGACACTGCTACATATCAAACACCCACACAGTCCTTGTTCTTTGCTTGACTTTTAGAGAAGGAGGTAACTCTCTTACCTGTACTCGGGATCTTATCTAGCCCATGTATTTAGGACATTTCTTAATTAGCCTCCCTTTGACTAATATCTTCAGCATCCCATTCTCTCAAAGTGGGCTTATACTCCTCTCCTCATGTATTCAGGCATTCTTAGGTATGCTCTCTTCCAAAGTAATTTACTGAGTGATATTCATATCGTTTCTAATTACCTTCTGTTTTTCGTACCTTCCATTCAGTGTGGAAATGTCTTGGAGTTATAATCTTTTGTTTGTTTGTTTGTTTAAAAAAAATCTTCGGGGACTCCAATAATAGAAATATCATTCCTTCTTTGCCTGTCTTTGTTTTCCACTACTTTGTCTATGGCCGTTTTTACTTGATTCTTTATGTCATTTTAATTATCTTGGTTGTTTTCCTGCCTTTCTTCAGTGCCAATTATTAAATTTTCATTCCCCTTCTTTCCCCTCCTGACCATACCTTGCAATTTAATCTTCCTTTTTTTTTTTTTCTGAGTTCAATAAATTTTCTTTCCCATCTCCCTGTTTTTTATCTATTTCAGTTTTTATTTTTTGAAGTTCTGATTCATGGTAGTTTTCCATGTCCTCAAATGCTTGTTTGAGTATATTTAATTCTGTTTAGAGATCAAACAAAATTGTTTTCTGCTTCATGACAAGATTTGTTTTTGTTTTTGTTTTTTGAAGGGGACAACTTTCTCTGTTTATATCTCTACAAATTCATATCCTGATTTTCTGTAATAGTTCTCTATAGACTTCACTTTTTCTTCTGTTTATTTTTATAATAAACAGTGTTTTTATAATATTTCTAATTTTATGGAGTACTATTCTATTAATATAGCAAAGTTCAGGTACTTTAGCAGGATCCTTCCTTCCTTCCTTTCTTTTTGAGATTGGGGAGGAGTTTTGAGTTTTCTGGTTTTGTGGTTCTCTTTTGTCTTCCAGGACCGTAAATTTCCCCCCTTATTGTCTTTCCCCCATCACCACCACCCAATTGCCAGAGGGAACTTCGTCCTTCTTTTGCTTTTTTTCTCCCTCCACAACTGCCTGTTCTTCTAACTCAGGATTGCCCCCTTTAAATAGATCCTGTCCTATCCCGTGCCTTTTTATGTCATCTCACCTTTTAGGGTGCATGTACAATCATGTACCTCATAAGAACATTTTGGTCAATGACAGACTGCATATAGGACAGTGGTTCCATGAGATTGGTACCATATAGCCTAGGTGTGTAGCAGCCTATACCATCTAGGTTTGTGTAAGTACACGCTATGATGTTCACACAATGACAAAATTGCCTAATGATGCATTTCTCAGAACATATCCCTGTTGTTAAGAGAGGCATGACTGTACTTTGAAATCCTTTCCCTGTAGTTGTGCTCTAATCTGCCTAGTTATTTATAAAATATTTTTATATTTAGTATGGATTCAATCTTTCTTCTGGTCACTTCAGCTCACCCTCAGTCCCCTTTGCTAACACTCTTCCTTTGTCTTTCATGAAGTTATTTTTTGATCTGCCGTTGCTCTTCACAGAGCCTTATGGTAGAGTAGGGATGGGGCAGAAGTGTGTGGGGCCATGTGGGACTGTGACACTGAGTTCATCAACTCTTCTTTTTCCATTGCTCCCTTGCTTGTTTCTTTGTATGTCTGTTTCTTCTATCTTTGTGTTTTAAGATCATATTCTTAAATTTCAAACCTGTCCATACTCATGATCATATTTCTATCTATTTCCATTAAAATGAATAACCTTATGTGCTTTTTGTGTTTTGTATTCCTCAAAGCTCAGGAACAAAGTAATATCATTTACACTTGGGCTTTCTTTCAGACTTTGAAATTAGACCCAAAATGAAAGAATTAACTTCACAGAAGAGCATTTCTGAAGAAGTAATACTCCATAACCTGATAGGATACTCAATTTTTGAAGACTGGAACCTTGAAGATGAGATAAATCACCAGGAAAACCAAGACAAGCTTTTGAACCAAGTTGCATTCATTAACAATAAATCACTGACTGAGGAGGTAGACCATGAATGTAATGCACTGGAGAAAGCAGTTCATCTGAACAGAACATCTAATAAACACATCAGAATCTTCATACAGAAGTCACACCTCTTTGCACAACCAAAAATTCTAACCAGTGAGAAATCATATAAATGTATTCAGTGTGGGAAAACCTTAAGTAGAAAGTCAGGACTCATTGTACATCAGAGAATTCATACTGGGGAGAAACCATACAAATGTAATGAATGTGAAAAAGCCTTTATTCAGAAGTCACAACTCACTGTACATCAGAGAACTCATACAGGAGAGAAACCCTATGAATGTAGGGAATGTGGAAAAGCATTCATACAGAAGTCAAACCTCATTATTCATCAGAGGAGTCACACAGGGGAGAAACTCTATGAATGCAATGAATGTGGGAAAACTTTCATCAAGAAGTCAACACATGGTGTTCATCAAAGAGCTCATACTGGGGAGAAACCATATGAATGCAATGAATGTGGGAAAGCCTTCACCTGGCAGTCACAGCTCATTGTACATCAGAGAATTCATACTGGGGAGAAACCCTATGAATGCAGTGAATGCAGAAAAGCTTTTATCCAGAAATCACAACTCATTGTGCATCAGAGAATCCATACTGGAATGAAACTATATGAATGCATTGAGTGTGGAAAAGCGTTTAGCAAGAAGTCACACCTCACCATACATCATAGAATACATACTGGAGAAAAACCCTATGAATGCAAGGATTGTAGAAAAGCTTTCAGCAAGAAATCTAATCTCATCGTACACCAGAGAATTCATGTTGAACAGAAACTGTTTTAATGGAATGAGAAAACTTGAATTCAGTGATCAAAATTTCATTATACTTTATAGAATTTATATAGGCTGGAAACTTTATTTCCAGCATGTACTAAACATGGGAAGCCTTCAACAATAGGTCTAGAACTATTAAGGACCAGAAAATTCATACTGAAAAGCAATTGAAAAATCATGTTTCCAAAAAAACATTGTGTTGGACATCTTGGTTCAGACCTAAAAAAATTTTTTTAAGTATGCTAGAAAAATCTCAATTACACGATTGACTTGTTCACTATAAGTACAGCTTTTTTAAATGAGTAAGTAAATTGATTGATCACAACAACAAAGTGAGAAGAATGTGTAGTCATTCTGCAGGTGATGTAGGAATGGCATGGAAACCCAAATTATCTGTCAGAAGTGAATATGGATATTTATACCTGCCTTTTCCACACTAAATGACACCATTTTCTCCACATCTTAAAACACAAAATGTAAAAGGACAAATTGTAAGTGAAAAAGCAATATGGTTTGTTACTTAACAAGAGTACAAAAAAATACATATAACCCTTCCCACTCTTTCTTGATGTGTATAGAATGATGAGAGGATGAGGCCAGTGTATTTATAAAGACTTCAAAAGTCAATGGTAGGGCCGGCCCCGTGGCTTAGCGGTTAAGTGCGCGTACTCCGCTGCTGGCGGCCCGGGTTCGGATCCCGGGCGCACACCGATGCACCGCTTCTCCGGCCATGCTGAGGCCGCGTCCCACATACAGCAACTAGAAGGATGTGCAGCTATGACGTACAACTATCCACTGGGGCTTTGGAGGGAAAAAATAAATAAATAAAATCTTAAAAAAAAAAAAAGTCAATGGTAGACTTAAAAAAGTATCATTTGATGTAAAGCATACAGAGGTAAGAAAGACACTGAGTAACACGACACTGAAAGAGGGCAGCAGAGTGGCTGTAGACGGTGTTGGCATACTCAACACAGGACAAAGGTAGTTCTACATAAGAAATTCCTGTTCATACTTCTGTCAGTTTTCAACTCAATCTATTGTTATGCATAGCTTGGGATCTTTGTATGCTTGTGATGATCAGAATTGAATTTTTAAAAAAGCTTCCTGTATTGGATATTTCTACCACACAGGCATTCTACTAAGCATTTTGATGTGTACTTTCTTATTTAATCTTTACAGCAAATGTATGAGATTGGCGTTATCACCATTCTGTAGATGAGGCATGTGGAGCCCAGAGAGGTTCACTGACCCAGCTAAGGCCACATGGCTAGTAAGTGGAAGAGTGGGATTCAGACCAACCTGTAAGCCCCCACACTGTTCTGTCCCACTGGGGACATGAAGGGGTGGGTGCCATGTCACTTCAGCTCCAAACAGAATTTAATTTAGTTTGATTGGGCATCATATGGTATTATGTATCCTGTCCCTATATTATGTTGAATAAATTAATAAGAAACATGCGTTTTAAAAGGGTTGTAAGATTCTTATTTCTTATATTTAGAAGCTGTTGGAGATGCCCTATTCCTTGAGATATTGGTTTAGGGATATCTGTTTTGCTGCCCTGTAAATTTCCTTGTGACCAGCCTAAACATTAGAAATTATACTATTATTTTTTAGTTTGTTTGAAAAAAATTGTCTTTATTTTGGTGAGCTGTCATTTTATTATCACAAATAACTTTTCTTAGAAATTCAGTCATTATCCAAGGCATGCTTTCCTTTTAACAGTACAATAACCTAACTTTATATAAGTTATAAATATTCATTGTCAAGTAATATTATGAAAAAAGGGATTGATATAAAAAAAACTTTCAAATCCTTCCTTGAATGAAGGTGAATCTGATATACCACATTGAAGTTGATTCTAAGTTTTGTAAATCAAATATTTATTTCTTAGATTTAAATTAAAAATAATGTCTTAAAATTGAAAATGCTGAATAACAATTATGACTATTAAATTTAAAAATTTTTAACTTTTGAATAATGATTTTAAGCTAAAAGAAGTGAATTGCAGTCGTGCAGTTGTTTTATTAGTCATTTTTGAAGGTTAAAGTTGAGCTGGGATGTAAATGTATGCAGTTAATTTTCTGAACAAACATGTCAGAAACTAAAATACCCATGTATGTTTTGCTCTCCAGTGTTGTCATCTTGGAAACTGTATGATAACACAAGTTGTGCAGTCGCCAATAATTTGTGGAACCTCTGTCCTTTGGAATTTCCTTCAGGTCCAGCTTACCTGTCAGGCCTCATATGAAACCAAGTAATATTTTCAGAAAGCCTTTAAGCCTTTAATCATTAGAATTCATTGTCTTTCGAGGCTTTCCTTATCCTTCCCCACTCTCATCCCATTAATTCTGTGCCTGACTTCAACGAGAAGAAAGCTCATATCCCTTTTGTAGCCATTTCAAGTCTCAGATCCTTACAAGATTCAATATCTTTATTTTCAAGTTTTTGCCTTCTGCTTCATGGTTTCCTACATGTAGCTGGTATTGCTATGAGCATTAAATAGGCAGGAAATTCCTGTACTTTTTTTACTTGCCTCCTAATATATTTGACATCTGAGCCTATTTGGTTTTATTCTCTTTAAAAGGATATTTTATACTGCCTCCTTTCTACTTCAGTAGTTTTACTATTACTAACAGATATTTATTGGGCACTATGAGTAGACACTATTCTCATTTTAAACAACTGTAACTTGAGGGATTACACAAGAAACCATGACTCATAGCCAGGGACTCTGAAACATTATAGTATACATAAACTCTTAGATATTTACATTTTCAGGCAAAGTTAAGGTTGAAATAAATGTAACTACCCTAGTAATGCTGAAAATATGGTTTTAAATGGTTTGCAAATTAAATGAGTAGAATGTTAATTGTGCCTGCCGTGGAGATACTAAAATGTTTATTTAGTTTTATACACTGATGGTCACTCAAATGCTTAGCTGTTATGTTTCTTTCAACTTCAAGTTCTTATCACAATTGAACACTTCACAATTGAATCTACACTATTTCAGACGTTCTTAGGGTATAACAGATCAAAATGGCATTATGTGGGTGTGTGGAGGGCAGAATAGGGGGAGTCAAACTGTGGATTTTTTTCCTGACAAGGTGAAGAAAATGGAATTTCAAAACCCCTTTTCTATTTGGTAGCCTAGGTAGAGGTGACTCACAAGAGAAATTAAATATTTAGATAATATTGAAAACACAATATATCAAAGTATTGGGGATGCCACTAGAGCAGAGCTTGGAGAGAAATTTATAGCTTTAAATTGTTTCCTTAGAAAAGATTGATCTAAAATCAATTATCTAAGCTTCCACCTTATGAGGATAGAAAGATAAGAGCAAATTAAACTCAAAATAGGGAGAAGGATGTGAGTAATAAGCGTAAGAGCACAGATCAATGAACCGGGATAGAGATCAGACTACAGGCCAAATGTGGCTAGTGGCCTGTTTCCATACAGCCCTTAAACTAAGAATCATTTTTACATTTTTAGCAGGTTGTAAAACAAACAAAAAACAAAACAAAGACTATGCAATAGGGACCATGTGTGGCCCACAAAACCTAAAATATCTACTATCTGGCCCTTTACAGAAAATTTTTGCCAACCCCTGAAATGGAACATACATAAACTGTAGAGAAAAGTCAATGCAAATAAAAGGTACTTTATTGAAATTGTAACCACAGGACCAGTTTAAAACCACCCCATCTTATCAATGACAGGATGTTCAAGTTGTTTTTCAGGGGCAGCGAGCCAAAACTGCAAGTCCTGTAGCTCAAATATGCGCAAAGGAGAAAATGTTGACCTGAAATAACACCCAGAACCAAAGATTCTCCTCTCACAGAGCCAAAGGACCAGGACACAACCATAACTCAAAAGCCAGACTCTTTTCAGAAGCAAGGGGTCCGTTGTCTAGGAAGATCATGTGTTAAAGCCCCTTTCCACACCTTACCATAAATGTTTAAAGCCCTCCAATTGAAACCTGCCCCACCAGCACTTCTGCGTACCAGCCTGTTCTCTCTAACCTCTTAAATTTCACCCCAAACCCTGGGTCAGAGAGACAGATTTGAGAGCCTTGCTTCCTGTCTGCTTGCTGATCGACCTGACTTTCTGTTCTCAACAGCCAGAGCCATAGTATTGGCTTTTTATGTGCATCAGGCGTCAGGCCCTCTTGCTCGGTAACAAAAGGATCAATAAAATTGATAAATCTTTGGCTAGATTGGTCAAGAAAAAGAGAAGACAAAAATTATTAATAGGAATAAAGGAGGTGACACCACTATTCTAGAGTCAATAGAAAGATAATATGGAAGTTATTAACTTGATTTCAAAAATTCGACAACTTAGGGGAAAAGGATGATTTCTTTGAAATACATGTTACCAAACTGAGTAAAGAAGAAATAGAATACTCAAAGAACCCTCTAACAATTGAAGAAATTGAATTTGTAGTTTAAAACCTTCCCAAAGTCCAGGTCTAGACGGCTTCGCTGGTGCATGCTGTCACATATTTAAGGAAGAGATAATACTAATCCCACAAAAACTTGCAGAAAGTGGAGGAGGATGAGCATTTTCCAATCATTGTATTGGATCACTATTACCCTGAAACCATAAACCAGATGAAGACATCATAAGTAAAGGAAATTATAAGCCAGTACCCTGATGACTACAGATGTAAAAGTTCTTTAAAATTAGTATATTGAATCCAACAATACATAAAAAGTGAAATATGTCCTGATTAATTGGAGTTTATTCCAGGAATGAAAGTTTTTACTTAAACGTCTGATTATTAATCCATGTAATTAACCATATTGGAAGAATGAAAGGAAAAACTCACATGATCATCTCCATAGATGCAGAAAAAGTATTTAACAAAATTCAACATTCACTTGTGATGAAAACTTTCAACAGATGAGCAATAGATGGTCGCTTCTCTGCCTCTACCAGTTTTATGGGTACTGCTTTCTACATAATATCAGAAACAAGGCAAAAATATCTGTTTTAGTGTTCTCATTTTTTTTTTTTGATGAGGAAGACTAGCCCTGAGCTAACATCTGCTGCCAATCCTCCTCTTATTGCTGAAGAAGACTTGCCCTGGGCTAACATCCGTGTCCATCTTCCTCTATTTTATATGTGGGATGCCTGCCACAGCATGGCTTGATAAGCAGTACATAGGTCCACACCCGGGATCCGACCCTGTGAACCCCAGGTCGCCGAAGTGGAGCACATGAACTTAACCACTATGCCACCGGACTGGCCCTAGTATGTGTACTTTTAAGGTTTGTTTTCTACTTGTTTATCTTTTACCTCAAAAATCCATGCATTCTGATATCCTCAAATAGTCTTTCTGTGTCATTAGTTCCCCGATATTTATTTTTCAGCTCAAATATCTCATTTGCATTCTGTCCCCATAGCTTCCCCAGCTTAGTGTCTGTCTCCACTTGAGTGTCCCACGTCACTTAAATCACTTTAAACTCCATATGGTGAAAAATGAAATCACCAACTTTCCCTAAGTAACCTCTTTTTCTTCTTCAATATTTCTGTCATTAGTACCACTATTAGTGGCACTATTAGTTCCTCCATTATTACCACTATTAGTTCCAGCCTTCTTGGCTAGAAACCAAGAAGTATCTTTTTGCATCTCATTTTGTAAACATTCCTCATAATCACGTCAATTATTTTTTTGTTTCTTTCTTCCTTTTTATGTTTCAGATTTACTCCTATACTAAATTCTTACTAGTATTTTCCCAATCCTGGCCCATATCATTTATATTATACTTTCTTGCTGAATTTGACAGCCTTATTCTCTCCTTATCCATTTTAGATGAAATTAACAAGCATCTTTTTCATCGACAACATCACGTATTTATCATGTTATTACTGTGACCAAAAACTTCAATTTTCCTATCTCCTACTATATGACATTGAATTTCTCTATTTAATTGTCAGAGTTCTTTGTTATCCAATCCCGTTTCACTTTTTCTTTCATATTTTTTACGTCTGCTTTCCAGAGACATACGTTTGAGTTAGTCATGGACTTTTTGTCATGTCCTGTACTCTTCAGTATCTCTACCTTTAATTATACTATGCATTTTGTCTCAATGCTGCCATTTCTCTTACCATGCCTATCTATCTTAACCCTTTCCTTCTTTAAACTGATGTATTAATCAGGACCTATACTGTATAATCTTTCATTTTATCATAGCACTGGTTTATTTTTATTTGTATTATATTGTTTTCTGTAACTGATGTGTGAGTCTTGTTTTCCCCTTTTATATTCCAGAGGGAAGAGCTATTGTCTTCTGCTTGATCCTGGGTACTATATCCAAAGTCTGAGCATCAACTCCAAAGCAGAAAGCTTCTGAAAAACAAATAGTATTATGGCATGATGTTAGAAAATTTTTCAAATCATGATTCCTGAAACTTTACATTAAAGAATTGGAATTTGATAAGTAGTTTGAGGAATACCAGTAAACCTGAATTACAAGGAAACTCAATTTAAGAGGAAGATTATGAATATGGTAATTTGGGGAAAATATTTAATCTGAGCTCAAATCTTTTTAAACAACTGAGAGTTTCTAGAAGATAAAGACCTCATATAATTATGACACAATAGTAGGAGTTTCAAGCATAAGTCTGCTTCAGTTGGGTTTTTAAAAGACAATTCATAAATGAAAAGTAACTTATTAGATATAAGAAAGAATCCATTTGTACCTAAAACTTTACTTATTCTGGAAACAGTTTAAATGTAAACCCACGGTTTGGTACTAATGGAATCTGAGAAAATTTGTATGAGAGAGAAACATGAATGTAAACTATGTGGTAGATCCTTCAGCCGGAACACTAATCTTATTCAACATCAAAGAATACATACTAGAGAGAAACCATATTAATGTAATGAATATGGGAAAGCTTCTAGTCAGAGCACTAATCTTATTCAACATCCAAGAGTTCATACTGGCGAGAAACCTTATGAGTGTAATGGATATGAAAAAGGCTTTAGTCATAAGTCATCCCTTAGAAATCATGAGAGAATTCATACTGGAGAAAAACCCTACCCTTGTAATGAATGTGGGGAGGCTTTCAGCCATGTTTCAGCCCTTACTCAACATCACAGAATTCATACTAGAAAGAAACAATATGCGTGTATTGAATGTGGGAAAACCTTCAGCCAGAGCACACATCTTATTGAACATCAGGGAATTCATTCTGGGGAGAAATCCTACCAGTGTAAGGAATGTTGGAAAGTTTTTTGCCACAGCACATCATTAATTCGACACCAGAGAACTCACACAGGAGAAGAACCTTATGAGTGTAATGAATGTGGGAAAGCATTAGGCCATACCCCAGCCTTCATTCAACATTAGAGAATTCATACTGGAGAGAAACCTTATGTTTGTAAGGAATGTGGAAAAACATTCAGCCGAGGTACACACCTTACTGAACATGTAAAAATCCATTCTGGTGAGAAACCCTATCGATGTAATGAACGTCAAAAACTCTTTTGCTATAGAACATCACTAATTCGACATCAGAGAATTCATACAGGAGAGAAAACCTACCAATGTAATGAATGTGGAAAATCCTTCAGTTTAAGCTCAGCCCTTACTAAACGTAAGCAAACACATACAGGGGAGAAGCCTTATCAATGTAATAAATGTGGTGATTTTTTTTTCATAGTACATCTTTAATCTGACATCAGAGCACTCATTTCAGAAATGAAACCCTATCAGAGTAACGAATGTGGGGGAGCCTGCAGCCATAGGTCATCACTTACACATAGACACTCACAATAGCAAGAAACCCTAGGATTGTCATGCAAGAAACGCTATAGGCAAAATAGTCATTCACTCATTATAATGTTTGTACTGAGAAGAAACATTGTTCTTCTAATTAATCTGAAAAATGTGTTAGCATTGAGAGAAAAACTTATAGTGGAACTATTCATCTCCAAGACTGAAGTTTGTTTTTTAAAGATGTATTTAGAAAATTATTGTCAGAGATAATTTATTACAAATGTATATTTTGCTTATAATAAAAGCCCTTTCAGGTACACAAAAATTTTAGTGGGGTGATGAAAATTTTTTACTGTTTACATAATCTTTTATCCTTTTAGTAATTTTCATGTTATTTTTCAATGTTAAAGAAACACCTTTATAAAGGGTTTGAATTTTTTAAATGGACAAATTTGATTAAAAGCCATAGACAGGCAGACAGAATATGCATTATTTCTTGGTATTCATGAAATATTTTTAAAAATGGACCATAGATATAGCTATAAAGAAAATCTCAACAAATTCTCCCTGAGGGAAATATTCAAGTCCTACCTTTTTTTTTTTTTTACCACAATGAGATAATGGTAGAAATGAACAACTAAAAGCACAACAACATGAAAACATGAATGTGTAAAGATACATGCACCCCTGTGTTCATTGCAGCATAATTTACAATAGCCAAGACTTGGAAGCAAACTAAAGTGCCCATCAAGGGATGAATGGATAAAGAAGATGTTTATATACACATGAAATACTACTCAGCCATAAGAAATGATGAAATCCAGCCATTTGTGACAACATGGATGGACCTTGAGGGTACTATGCTAAGCAAAATAAGTCAGAGGGAGAAAGTCAAATACTGTATGATCTAACCCATGAGTAGAACACGTAGAGACAGAGATTAGATTGGTGGTTACCAGAGGGAAAGGGGGAAGGGAGGAGGGTGAAAGGGATGATTAGGCACATGTGTGTGGTGATGGATTGTAATTAGTCTTTGGGTGCTGAACATGATGTAATCTATGCAGAAATAGAAGTATAATGATGTACACCTGAAATTTATACGATATTATAAACCAATGTTACCACAATTAAATAAATAAATAAATAATAAAAAACTACAAAATTATTTAGAAATTAAATAATTTTCTAAGTAATTTTGAGTTAAGGAATAAATCCAAACAGGAAAAAAATGCAATTATTAGAAAATAATAAAGCTAGAACATAAATTAATTATTCAATTCAAAAAGATAAGAAACAGAATAATGATATAAACCCAAAGAAAATAAAAGGAATGCATTAATAAAGGTAAAAGCACACATTAATGAAATACGTGCAAAAAGTACATTCAATAAGCCAATAGACAAACTTCTAGCCAGTAGGACAATGGGAAAAACAGAGAAAACACAATATCTAGAAGTAAGAAAAGGAAGATAAATAGAGATAAAAGAGGAGTTAAATTTTCTAATTCAACCATTAACAAGTCAAATCTAGCAGTTTAGTAAAATCAATACTGAGATTTATCATAGGACTTCCAGACTAGTTGAAAAGTAGAAATGTACATTAATAAAGACAGAATATATCTTAATAGATGCTGTAAAAGTGTTTGGTAAAATGCTACAAGCATTGATTTTTTTTTTTTAAGTGAGGAATAGAAGGAAATTTCCTTAAATCGATAAAGGATAGTTACCAGAAACCTACCATAAACACAGCAAATAAATAGAAGCACTCTTACTAGAGACAGGAATGAAACAAATGATGTCAACACTGTTATTCAACATTGTTCTGAAGGTCTCAGATATCTAATTCAATAACAGAAAAAAGAAATGAGCAAGTCATAATTGAAAGGAAGAAAAAGAACTAACATCATTTGAAGTGATCTGTTGGTAACTAGAAAATTCAACTAGTAAAATTACTAAGGTGGAGATTATATACACATATATGCCAACAATGCACAAGTAAATAGGAAAATAGAAAATATAATGGAAAAAAGTGACGGCCACAATGCTGACAAAAAATCTAAAAATATCTGGAATAAAAAAAATTCCAAGAGATGATTATAGAAGAAACCTATTTTGAAGAACATAGAATATTATAGTAAATGAAGAGACATGACTGGAACAATAGTATAAAGATTTAATTTTTTTCAGATTTATCTTTGACTTGCAAATTTAATTAAAATTTCAGTCTAGTTTTAAAAAATAAGAGCTTTATTGAGATATAATTTACATACCATACAATTCACTTTTCAAGTTGTGCATTTCTGTGTTTTTTAGTATACTCACAGAGTTGGGCAATGATCACCACTATCTAATTTCAGAACATTTTCATCACTCCAAAAAGAAACCCTCTACCCATTGGCAGTAACACTCACTGCCCTTCTCCCTCCAGCCCCTGGCCACCACTCATCTACTTTCTCTTTCTGTGGATTTGCCTATTCTGACCTTTTCATATCAATGGAATCACAGAATATGTGGCCTTTTGTGGCCAGCTTCTTTCACTTAGCATAATATTCACAAAGTTCATCCATGTTGTACCATATATCATTACTTCATTTGTCTTTATGGCTAAATAAAATCCATTGTATGGATATACCACATTTTGTTACCCATTCATCAATTGATGGACATTTGGGTTGTTTCCACTTTTTGGCGGTATATACCTGGGAGTGAAATTGTTGAGTCATGTGTTTAACTTTTTAAGGAAGTGCCACATGAAAAGATGTTCAAAATCACTAACTATCAGGAAAATGCAAATCAAAACTACAATGAGATATCACCTCACGCCCGTCAGAATGGCTATAATTAACAAGACAGGAAACAACATGTGTTGGAGAGGATGTGGAGAGAAGGGAACTCTCATACACTGCTGGTGGGAGTGCAAACTGGTGCAGCCACTATGGAAAACAGTATGGAGATTCCTCAAAAAATCAAGGATAGAACTACCATATGATCCAGCTATTCCACTGCTGGGTATTTATCCAAAGAACTTGAAAACACCAATTTGTAAAGGTACATGCACCCCTGTGTTCATTGCAGCATTATTCACAATAGCCAAGACTTGGAAGCAACCTAAGTGCCCATCAAGGGATGAATGGATAAAGAAGATGTGGTATCTATACACAATGGAATACTACTCAGCCATAAGAAACGATGAAATCCAGCCATTTGTGACAACATGGATGGACATTGAGGGTATAATGCAAAGTGAAATAAGTCAGAGGGAGAAGGTCAAATACCGTATGATTTCCTTCATTAACTAGTAGATAACAACAACAATAAACAAACACATAGGGACAGAGATTGGATTGGTGGTTACCAGAGGGGAAGGGGGGAGGGAGGAGGGCCAAAGGGATAATTCGGCACATGTGTGTGGTGATGGGTTGTAATTAGTATTTTGGTGGTGAACATGATGTAATCTATGCAGAAATAGAAGTACAATGATGTACACCTGAAATTTTTACAATGTTATAAACCAATGTTACTGCAATAAACAAAAAAATTAAAAAAAAAAAAACTTAAGGAAGTGCCAGACTTTTCTAAAGCAGCTGCACCATTTACAAGCCCACCAGCAGCATATGAGTGTTCTTATTTTTCCACATCCTTGTCAGTACTTGTTTTTTTCTGTGAGACGTTATATGTATATAACTATATGTGTATAAATATATATGTATAGGTTCTTTGGAGAAATGTCTATTCAGATCCTTTGCCTATTTTAAATTAGGTTATTCGTCTTTGTATTGTTGAGTTGTAAGAGTTCTCTATCTATTCTGGATACTACACCCTTATCATATATATAATTTGCAAATATTTTCTCTCATTTGGTGGGTTGTCTTTTCACTTCTTGAAGATGTTCTTTGAAGCACAAAAGGTTTTAATTTTGATTAGTCCAGTTTATTTTTTCTCTTTGTTTCTTCTTTTGGTGTAACTCAAGGTTATGAAGATTTACACGTTTTCTTCTAAGAGTTTTATAGTTTTAGCTCTTTTAGGTCTATGATCCATTTTGAGTTAACTTTCTTTGTATATGTTGTGAGGTAGGGGTCCAACGTCATTCTACTGCATGTGGATATTTGGTTGTCCCAGCACCTTTGTTGAAAAGACTGTTCTTTCCCACATTTAATTGTCTTGGCATCCTTGTCACCCAATGGAATTTTAAAATGAAATTCAACACACTATAAATAAGTATATTAGAATAACTAAAAGAATGTTAAAAATTAGAAACAACAAACAGGGCTTGCCTTCCAAGTAATTCAAATGGTAGTCTGTAGGAAATAAAATGGGTGGTACACCACAGATGAAACAATTGGATCTATAGAACAAAAAACAAGGAGAAATACGTAATGTAAGAATTTAGTATATGATAACAATAACATCTCAAAACAGTAGATAAAGAATGGACTAGTCTAATAAGTGATGTTGGGATAATTGGCTGTTTATTTGGAAAGATAATGACCTCATAACAAGCACAAAATTAAAATCCAGAAGGGAATAAGTGAATTCCATTTTGTGGTAGTTTTTCAAGAGACAGGAGCTGAGCACACAAATGAGATTTTCTTCAGATCCTTCCATAACCACTATTGGATAAACACAAATTTAAGAAGAGTTTTGAAAAAATTTTGTTCTAACTAATGATAGAATTATAATGGCAAGTCTGTCTTCAAATCATTACAAAAAATGGAAAAAGCAAACATTGGTTTAGGGAAAAAAACGATTGAAAAGGAATAAACCTAAAACAAAGTAACAAGATTGAATGTAACCATTTTACTAGTGAAGGTCCCTTTTAAAAAGTTACAACTTTTAGATTTACAGGAAGGAGAACTAACATTTACTGGTTGCTAAATCAAATAGTATAAGAAATGAAGATGCTAAAATTATCTAACTTATCCATGGTCACCCAGCTTTTAAGGGCAAAACCAGGATTACAGAGCAAAACACATCTTAAATGAAATTATGGAAAAGGTTTCATA